AATATTCTGTCATTTTCATTCTGTCATCGTCGTTTTCTGTGCTAAGTTTCGGTTCACGAACAACAAAAATAGGCATTTTATTAGTTATATTTGTTATGTGAAATATTCTGTCATTTTCATTCTGTCATCGTCATTTTCTGTGCTAAGTTTCGGTTCAAGAACAACAAAAATAGGCATTTTATTAGTTATATTTGTTATGTAAATATTTTTTCATTTTCATTCTGTCATCGTCATTTTCTGTGCTAAGTTTCGGTTCAAGAACAACAAAAATAGGCATTTTATTAGTTATATTTGTTATGTAAAATATTTTTTTTATGTCGTATAATTTTTATTCACAATCTGTTGATCAATGTGAACATTGAGTAAATTTAAGATCGCGGTGGTATTACATGGATAATCTTTCCAGATGGATAGTTACCATTATGATGATTTGATTTATAAATTTGATGGTTGGCTGTCGTCTTGTAAGTTAACTGCGATTCCACTATTTCACTGTGAATCTGCTGCTATACTTAACACTGTCATTGTCCATCGATTTGGCTGAAAATGTCCATATGCTGAACCTCATTCATTTCACTGTCCATCTGTGAAGAACGATGGTCCAATTGCTACAAGCACCGAGAGAGCTCACAGAGGGCCTGGCTTGACCAGGATTTGAACCTGTGACCACTGGTTCCTGGGTAGGGCGACTTAACCATTCGGCTATTAGTCGTCCGAATCTTGTAAATATAAACTTAACTTATAATCAGGAACATAATAAATATTTATCAAAGTTGTAGTTTTTTTATTTCTTTCCTCTTACATTATTTTCGAGAACAAACAGGAAGGATTTAATGAGCTAGTTTTTAACCCCTTAGTGCTTCGCCATTATGAATTCAATCTTTTGCGTAGTTACCTCCTTCCTAGCGTGTTTCTTTTTCCTTGTTATTGTTGCTTCTCCTGCTGATGTAGTAGAAGTTGTTGTTTCTCTACTCTCCTCTCACCCATTTTTATTTATATTTTATGAGTTTCAAGGGGCGTAAAAGAGCGTGCTTGCGCTAATGACGACACTGCAGGACACGTCATCATCATCATCATCATTGTCATCGGAGCGTGGCGATGTTTTGTCGTTCTTTAATGAGTCGCGAAGTTTACGTGTGAACACTACGTGTATGTGTAAGAACCAGATTTTACATTTTGCGAAATACATTACGATTATGAGGGAAAGAGGAAGCGAGGAGTTTTGTGTATATGTGTGTGGTTGGTTATACGTATACGAACGTATTGATGTGAGTGTGTGTGTTTCTGGAGTCCTTTTGAATCGAGCCCCGGTTTTAGTGTGCAGGAGAGGAGCGAGAATAAAGTGGAAAGTCCCACCAACCAACCCGGCAATACCTCTCTCCCACGGCCGTTGGAAAGGCGTTGGAGGAACTCTGTTTTCTTTAAACAATGGATACTTCCCATTGTCTCCGCTTTTCCACATTTAACTCTGATATATGGATGCGAGTTTTAATGACTCTCGGTTTCAATTCTGCATCTTCAATTACGGGATCGCATTTACAATTGCAACAATGATATATTTATACATATAAATAGACCTGTAAAATATAAAAAGAGGAATTCCACTGATTTTCCAAATTAAAATTAATGGATATAAAACTGCTCTAATTCCATACATCTTACCAAGTATGAAACTTTTTTCAAGTTTTGTGTCTTTATATTTTGGATTATTTCTCAAAAATTATGAGCGACAAATTTATCAGTGAAAAACCAAATTAATACTAAATATTTACTATTTAAAACATATATACTGGCATAGTTTTATCATTTTTCGTTTAGACGTAATTCGCTGTCAAACTTGAAGAGACGTTTTTTAAGTTTCGAAAAGGCAGTGTCTTTACATTTGAATATATCTCGAAAAAAATATAATCCCGGTAGTATTAAAATCCTCGACTTACGAAGTAAATAATTATTACGAGGTGGAAGTTGTGATTAGGAGTAGGGCTTTGTTCATAATGATGATTTAACGTTCTCACCGAATTCATCCTGGGTGGTTTTGTTTATTGTTAAGGTTTATTATGAACAGCTCTATATCAAATAATAAAAGATACTGTCAGGATTTTGTTACTGTCAGGATTAAGAAAAGTATGTGCAACAAATTGATTGTTGAGCAACCAAATTGTTATTTTTCTGTAATTCGCTGTGAAACATTCAGAAATGTTTATTTTTATGTTTATAAAAAGCAACTTTTTGTTAAAGTTATTTCATGCGTTCAGTAACTGTAATAAGTCCTCTCGGTTTCAGAATTTCACTACAAAACTTCTGTTGTAGTATAAATTATTAGCATACTTTCACTGAATATTTATTTTCTATTGGCGGTGGGGGAATAGCATTAAAAGAGGGAATAGTGGGGAAAATGTAGGAAATGTTTTCTATTATGAAAGTCATAAAGAAAAAGAAATTATATTTCTTGGAATAAAACAATAAATAATTTTACATTTATAACGTAAATTATTTCTTTAGAAATTTTTATAGGAAACACAATAATGTTTTATTGCTTACAATTTTTTTTAGTCTTGAAATGAGTATAAAAGAGCAGTTTTGAATTTCAGCTGTCCTTTTAACCTCCAAGCATCATCGTCGTCAATATTTAATACGAAAAGAAAGAATCTTCCATTATCGTCAATATGAGTAAGTAAACATGAAATTTTTCGATTTGAAAGTGTAGATTAATTTTTTGTTATTATTGATAATTCTCAGGTATAAGACGCTCAAGTAGAACGAAAAAATCGAATGCAAAGTCGAAAAATGCTGTAGTGAATGTAGGCGCTAGCACAACATCTAGAAAAAGGAAGAGGCGAATGGACGATAAAAATGAATTGATCCGATTTGGTCCAAACAAAACCGCTTTGAAAGCCGGTGTACTTGATTCTCTGAATTGGAGTAGCATTGATACAGCAACACGTGGCATGTTGATGATTTTGTTCAAAAGAGAGACTTTAGCTTCACACAGTTTAAGTGGGAAAATGAGTAATGCATTTGTTAATGATAAATTAATTGATATGAAAGCGAGACCTCAGCTGGACCCATTCAAAATTGAAGACATGGTTTACCTTATGTGCAAGACATTTGATGTTCACAAGAGCAGAGTGCATAAGGTAATTACAAGGAAATGTGGAACTGAACACCATCTCAGAAAAGCGAAAATGGAAAAGTTAAAGAAAAACTATGATTCTTCTTAAATCTCTTGAAAATCTATAGACCATGAACATCTATAGAAAAACTAAAATAATTATTAGTATTATTGTTAGTTAAGTGTAAAAGTATTAAATAAAAAATGAAATTATTGCCGTCAATAATTTCAAAGTCAAACATTTTCAATACAAATTATTTATTAAACATGATATAAGAAAAACAAATCAGGTAATTCAATGTATTATTTATTGGTTATAATTCGTGGAGTAGCTACTACATAGCATAGGACTACAAAGCGAAGGGACCACAAAAAATGAGGCCCCCTGATTTTGAACCATCTACGTATCCATGAAAAAATATTTGAATTAGTATTTTTTACCCTTTCTCATCACCATTTAACGTTATGTTATAACAGTTGTCTAGTGCCCATACAGTGTTAGTACAGAGCCGCAAACGTTATGGGCCCGCACCTGCTTCGGACAAGAGGGGCCCTCAGATCATGCATGCGGAAGGGTTTTACATTTCTAGCTATGACACTGTTCTTCTTCTTCTTTTATTAAACCTCCACTCCCTTCACTTAGCTTGTGTCAAGCACAATTTCGTGGATATGTAGATATGTATTATAACAAGGGACCAGAACACACAAAGACAATGTTCAAACCGGGACTCTGGGGTTCAGTACAATTGGAATGGGTTGAGTCTAGGAAAGGATGATTGTGTGGTTGTAGATAGGACCACAACCAGATGGACAGCGTAGGGGACAAGACTTGCAACCAAATATACCGATAAACGCTATATCAAAATTTTGGATATTCTTAGGAATTCCAAGACGGCCAAATACACTCTCATCTTGTGGAGATGGGAACACTGTTCTGTGCCATATTATTGGTTATGCATGTCAACTTATAGAATGACAGCTGTCATGATCTTTTGACATTTGATACTATATTTAAGGCTATACTTATAACTATTATTCCAAAGTTCAAAAAATAAAATAATAGAATAATATCGGTTTTACCCAGAAAAAGGTCAACATTAAAACGTCACCTTTCTCTCTTTACTTTATGTAAGCAACGTAAATAAATTACAGTTGGCTGTGTGTTCTCATGTATATGAACGTATTCCATCATCGTTCCGTTCAGTGTAACTATTTCCAAGTCATTTCGAGCGCGAATTTCATTAAAAACGAAAATTTGTCGATGCTATCTGGTCGTGTCAACCTGATCAAAGTTGATGGCTTGGTGTGACGCATATAGAAGACGAAAAAAAAAGGTGGAACGTGAATACGAATTGCTCGATATTTCCACGGGAGTCCCGCGGCGACGCCGTGAAAGAAGCCGACTAATGAATTCGCAAACGCAAAAATCGCTGGAAAGATGAATCCGATAAAAACGGGGTCACGTAACTCGCGAAAAAGCAAAACAGAAATTGGCAAAGAGCACATCCAATATTGACCCAAAAGAAAAGGGAAGAAAATAAATGAGAGGAAGACGAAAAAAAAAATGAATTCTATTCAGACGTAATTTAATTATACGGACGTCTTATGAATACTTAATTTAGAGTAATAACTTTCATGTGATTAGTGTTCTCTTTTGATTGTTGTGAGTTTTTTTGTTATGTTTGGATGAATTAATGGATGAGCAAAGTTTTTGATTAGAGAGCGACTAAGCATATTAGTAAAGTAATTAAATTTGCTCGTGTAAACAATTACAAGCATTACCTGTTTAAAGCTACAAGAAGTTGGTATACTTGTCAATTGTAGTATTAATAAAAATAAGTATAAATAAGATGAAAGGTTGTGGTATGTACATAATGATGTTGATCATAACCAGGACACAAGATTTTTTGGGGATCACGAAAAAAATTGAATTAGAAGTCAAGAATACATTACTTAGGGCTGAACACAACCTCAAAACCAAATAGGTTATACATAAACAATGACAGCTGTCAGTTTCATGAATTTCATGAAAATTATTGGTTATTTGTCGCTTGATTTAGGTATAATATCATGCGTTTTTCTTGGTTAGAATAAATGAAAATGAACTTGTTGTCTTGTCAACTAATTTAGATAATTATATCTGTTATGTATAATATTTACCTTGGATGAGTGAAGCAAATAATCTGTATTGCGTACGCAGCATTATGACATTTTTTTATTCAAGTATTGAATGAATCTTGATTCATAGTAATAACTTCCATGTGATTTGCATTCAGTTTTGATTGTTTTTGTTGTTTTTACGTTTGGTTGAATGAGTGGATGAGCAAGGTTTTAGAATTTATAGCGATGTAGAAAAAAAAATGAGGAGAAAGGGTGTCGTGAATGCAATTAAATTTGCTCGAGCGAACGGTTCCACGAGTGGGAATTAGTGACGGGAGCCCTTCAAGAGCAATATATAATATCATTAAGAAGGACTTTATATATTGTTGCGGAAGGGAGGAAGATTTCCGGTGCTCCCTTTTACATACACTCTCGCTTCCAATCATCTCATCTCCTGCGACGCCACGTATATATCTATATATACACGTAGATTGTGCCAAGAGGCACTCCATCCACCTTGTCAAACTACCTGTCTTACATAATTTATTATATTTTGGGAACGAGAAACGAGAGAAGGGCGCCAATCTAATAGATCTCAGGTCGTAAGCTCCTTTCCAAGAACGAACCACGACCACCGAAAAAGGACGTCCACTCGGTGCAGCACGTTCGCAAAGTAAAGCACTTCGATTACGCAATCATTAATGCACAACTTACTCGGAATATTAACGTTGCCCCACATATTATCAATAGTCAAACTACTCACAGAATATCAAGTAGTTCTGTAACGCATCCAAATTAAAAACGATTTTTTATAGAAACTCAATATTACATCATCCAATTTGCGTGCGGTAAAATTCTGCATCACTCGAATGCACTCCAAAACTGGAGCGCTGTTGCGTATTACAAAAAAAACCGGTCCTAACCATGCGATGCGGGGGAAAACCGGAAATCTGACCAAAGGCCGAGTGCGTTTCGAACCATTGAATACATCGAAACAGATTAAAACAATCCGTATTATTATGTAAGGATTAATTTTCAATGGATATTTTTACATATAATAAAATAAATAATAAAATTAATTCAGTTAACAAATTCTTAGATTTTAAACTCTAAAATCAACAATAAATCCTTAAGGACAAAAGGAATAAAATATGGTGAAATATATTTTCAAAAGTTTTCTTGAAGACCTTAAATAAATTAAAATGTGAATAAAATAAACTTTATAGAAGCAAATAAAATTGAAGAAAAACAAGTAAGTTGATTGTCATAAAAGAAACGTTACTATTTTAAATTGTCGTTATTAATTTTCTGTAGACTTTAACTCAATTTTCTTCTAAAATTTTATAATAATATAATATTAAATATTATCACAACACAATTTTTCGTTAAAATTTTATGTAATTTATAATTTTATTAAAAAAAGTGTAAAAATATTATAAGAAACTATTAACAATTCTCATTTATAATTCAATTTTTTTTTTCTCTTTATAAATTTTATCCTTTCGTTCATAATTTTTAACTCAATTTTCGCATGAAATTTTATAATAATATAATATTAAATTTTATCGCAACACAATTTTGCGTTAAAATTTTATGTAATTTATAATTTTATTAAAAAAAAAGTGTAAAAATGTTATAAGAAACTATTAACAATTCTCATTTATAATTCAATATGTTTTTCTCTTTATAAATTTTATCCTTTAGTTTATAATTTTTAACTCAATTTTCCCCTAAAATTTCTAATAATATAATATTAAATTTTATCCCAACACAATTTTGCGTAAAAATTTTATGTAATTTATAATTTTATTAAAAAAAAAGTGTAAAAATATTATAAAAACTATTAAAAACGAATAATAATTTCATATAGATTGTAGTTATAATTAAATAGTTGTTTGTGGAATATTTATTGTTTTTGACAAACTGCAACATGATCATAAACTATAGAAATAATGGTTTTAGTAAGAAATTTATAGTTGATTTGTATTACACAAGAATGAAGTGGGGCCCTCAGTACATAAAAAAGAATACAATATAAGGAAATAATTTTAATATAATTCAATTTTTTTTTCTTTATAAATTTTATCCTTTCGTTCATAATTTTAAACAAATAATAATTTCATATAGATTGTAGTTATATTTTTTTTCTAATAATGAATATAACATAAACCAAATGCAGAGTTAACTACCACAAGATTATATAAATGTATTTAAAAAGCTAAAGTATCCTCCGGTTGAAATACGGAAAACCGCGCTTAATGAATGAACAATGAGCGGAATTCAAATGCATTATGTGAAGTATTTACAGTGCAGAGCTGCTGCAATCATTTCCGCATTAAATTCTTAACGTAATCTGCGACGAAGTTTCGTCTGCGCAGAGCGTGTTTATAAAAGGCCTACAACGTAAATGCATGTACAGCGAGCGATGTATACGCTATTATACGAAAGCTCAATTAGAATATCCATGATAAATTACGCGTCTTAAGTCAACATGCACCTGCACTTCCCTCCATTGAAATCCTGTAATCACGAAACCGAAGCAAGCAGTCCTCCTCCTTTTAGAAACCGTTTCAATGCAGCCGGAATTATTTACATCTAACAGAAACGAAAGCATCTCGGATTTTCATTGCAAAACTTCAATACGGAAAACATGGAAATGTCTTAAAGTTACAGTTGTATAATTTATTTTTTGCAACATTTTTATTTACAATTTATGACTAAGTAAAACTCGACATCTTTATATAATAATTATCTAAATATTAATTATAATTATAGATTTTTTAAAAACTTTTGTCTTTATTCAATCTTATTTACATAATTTCCAACATTTTAATAAAGTTCAATATTTCAGTTTTCATAATTTTATTTACAAATTAAATATTGATTTCACATTTTTTTTTAATTTTCGTTAAGTGATGCTATGAACTGGATCATTTATCAATTATTATAAGATAAAATTAAAATTTTCAATGTTCAATACAAAATTTATAATCTTTTGACATTTTTCATAAAGTAACAATTTCAATTTTTAAATTTTCATCCACACGTATTGGTTATTGTTAATTTAGACGACTTTTTGTGCAATTACAAAAATGAAAAACACAAAAATGTATAAA